CCGTTAGGGCAAATCCAGACCATGCACTGAAGAGGGGTTTGGGGCCAGCCTGCCCTACAGGGACACATCTGTGCCACTGATGTCACCTCAGGCATCACAACACTTGCTCCACCAAGGGACAACCCAAAAGACCCCAGCAGGACTTACCACTGCTGCCGGTCAGCATCCAGCAAATGTTTTCTCTATCCTTCCTCTCCATGATTCCACCATGAAAATACAATGCTGTTACTCTAAAAGCAGTTGAGATACCAGTCATAAAGAGAAGGAGAAATCCCCTCTCTTTGCAGTCAAATCCCCAAGAGCTGCCTCATAAGAACACAGATCCCTGGGACAAGAAGATAGATGCAAAGCAAACCAGCATCCAACCTCCAAAGACATTAAAGCAGCTCCTTGGCAAGCCCAGCCCTTTTATAAGCTATTTGCAGGTGAAACCTGTAGACATTAGCTGGTTTGAGGAAGAGTCACATCACCTGGGAGCACCATAGATAGGCACATTTAGTGCTTCATGGGTTGTGAAGGGGATGTCACAGCCCCATGGCAAAATTTAGGGGAGCCCAGCTCCTCAATGCATAGATGCACAGCCATGTGTCATGTATACAGCCTGATTTATAGCAGGGTTGGGAATGTGAGTGTGGGACTGGCTTTTTCCAAAGGCAGGGATGAGCTGCTCAATGGGACCCCAGCTCATCCCTCCCTGTCCATACCATGTGTGTGTATATATGTATATCTATCTTGGTATATATCATATATACCCATACCTAATCTGTATGCCTGTGATTTTGCACCCTCTTCATGCTATCCATCCACCAGCTCACCTGAAGGATGACAAATCATTATCCTCACTTGGAGAGGGATAAAGGGAAGGAAAGGGCAATGAAGTGATGTGGCAGAGGCCAGGCAGAGAGTCAGTACTGAAGGCAGAGCTAAACCCCATCTCTCCTGAGCCACATCCTGGCCTGGGTCTCCATCAGGGCTGTTCCCACCCTGTGTGTGTAGGGCCCAGCTCTGCAAAGTGTCCCGTGGCTCTGCCTGTGTGAGTGCATGGTGCTGATGCAGGTTGTCTTGGTGTTCAGATGCTCACACATGAGCCCTCCTAAGGAGTAGTTGGATCCCCATTTTACCTTCTTCTCCCCTACCCTGGCAAAGCAGGAGCGATTTTCGAGGTCAGAACTTTGTTCTTGGATAAAAGTCTCTAAAAAACTTAGTAAATGCTCCCAGAACCACAAAAAAAACAGAGTGGGAGAAAGAGAAGGAGAAAGGAACAAGCCTGGGAAGCTGGCTCTGCACTTTGCCCTGGCTGCCTGTGACAAGGGGCTCTTTGTTCCCCTGGCCGGAGCCTGCTGCACTGGCCCTTTTCAGTCTCCCTCCCTGGGAAAGGGGCCAGGGGGAAGCAGGACAAGCAGGGCAGGGGAAAACCCTGGGGCTGCATGAATAACCCCTGCTTGGACCCCCACCAGGCCCCCCATCTTCATATAGATGGTCTGTGTAGCATCTGCCAGGAGCAGCACTGGGAGCAAAAGGTGCCTGGGAGCCACTCAGGTCTCTGCTTCCCATGCAGCATCCCTGAGAATGACCATGCCCCTGCTCCTGCTGTGCAAGAGGTGTGACAGGTCTGTGTCTTTTGGACTTTGCAATCCTAAAGCATCTGCTAAAATGCATTGAAGCATCCAGCCAAGGTGTAATCGCCTGCCTGCAGCTTCCCAGACCCGCAGTGTTGAGTGAGCCATGTCATAGAATCATAGAATGGTTTGGGTTGGAAAAGACCATAAGATCATCCAGTTCAAACCCCCCTGCCATGGGCAGGGACACCTCACACTAAACCATGGCACCCAAGGCTCTGTCCAACCTGACTGTGAACACTGCCAGGGATGGAGCATTCACAACTTCCCTGGGAACCCATTCCAGTGCCTCAGCACTCTCACAGTAAAGAACTTCTTCCTTATATCCAGTCTAAACTTCCCCTGTTTCAGTTTTAACCCATTACCCCTTGTCCTATCACTACAGTCCCTAATGAAGAGTCCCTCCCCAGCATCCCTATAGGCCCCTTCAGATACTGGAAGGCTGCTCTGAGGTCTCCACGCAGCCTTCTCTTCTCCAGGCTGAACAGCCCCAACTTTCTCAGCCTGTCTCCATACAGGAGGTGCTCCAGTCCCCGATCATCCTCATGGCCTCCTCTGGACTTGTTCCAACAGTTCCATGTCCTTCTTATGTTGAGGACACAGGACCCGTACACAGTGCTCCAAGTGGGGTCTGACACTGTGGCTTTGCCCAGGCAGTGTAGGCTGGATGCTGTTATGAACACATCTCCCTCACCTCCTCCCACCCCAGGGATACAGCCAGGGTATCCCCAACCCTTGGGTTGCAATGACATGGAGCAGGCAATGGCTGTGGATTGAGCCAGCCGGGCAGGAGTCCTTCTGCAGGGATCAGAGCTAAGTTTGGAGAGGTGTTTCTCTTATTATTGCATTGAAAAGCCCCAGAGCTCTGCCTGGCTGCAGCAATTCCCTTTCTCCTGATCCCAGTTGCACAGAGCTGGGGCTGGGAAACACAGAGCAGCCTCCAGCCTCTCTGGCCTTTCATCAGCTCTAATGAGAGTTGCAGGTGCCCTTTCCAAGCGTGTATCTGTCCAGGCTCAGATTTGAGGCTGGTTTGGCACACCAATACAGCAACTTTCTGCAGGCTGGGAACGCTGCAGGGCTCCCCATGCTCTGCCATCGCAGGGATGGCGTGAGCTGGATGGATGCTTAGCATCCCGGGATGGTCTGGGAGCTGGATGGATGCTTACCATCCCAGGATGGTCTGGGAGATAGATAAAGGAGAGAAGGTGAGGGAATGCCCTCTGCACCCCTAGGGAGCAAGGTGCTGCAGCAGGACCATCCTGCCCTGCACAGAGGACCATGAAATTGTGTCCAGCTACCCCTAAATACAATGCTGGGTGTTCCAGGAGGAGCTGCTGTAGCCAGGCTGTCCCAGCATTGTGCAGCCAGGTCCCACATCTGTGATGCTCCCTTTCCCATCTTTCACAGGATGATGCTTATTAGAAAGCAGGCCAAGGAAACAAGAGCAGGTCAAAAAGAAGTCCCTCCTCAAGGCTATTTCTCCCTCTGGGAAAAGCAGATGTTAGCAGTGTGCTGCACCAGCGTGGCTTTGGGCTTCAGGGACACACATGCTGTCTGACCTCATCCCATGGGAATGGCTGGGGTGGTCCTTCTTGGCCTGTCCATCCCTGTACCAGAGACAGGGAGGATATCTGCACCCCAGGGATCCCTTTCCAAAGGGTCTGGATGTCCCTTAGCCCTGTAGGAAGGGGCTGTGGGAACCAGCGCTGCCTCTGCTCCTTGTTACTGCTCTGAAGAGCTCAGAACAGAGGGGAGATGGTGCAGGGCTTTGTTAAAACAAATAAATCCAAGGAAAAGGCTTGGGAGGCGTTTCCTCAGCAACCGATGTCACGCGGGATGTCTGGCCTTCCCCTGCCCGCCGCCTTATTATGGGAAGGGAAAAGAAAGGGAAGCAGAAAGCAAAGGGGAGCTGGGGACAGTCTCCTGGCAACGCTGGGGACAGCAATGTCCTCCTGCCAGAGGACATGGCTCCAGCACAGCCAGCCTGGCCATTCCTTGTGACTAGAGCATCGGGATGGGGGGGCATCCTGGATGGATGTGACAGTGCACTGGGCACAAGCACACCCCGAGGGATGCTCAGTCCTCATAAGTGCTGATTTACCCAGTGTGGATCCCCCATTGCAGTGCAGTGGGAGCTTACCCCCTCTGCTTTCTCCTCTTAACTCATAGTTGGTGATGAGCACCCATATTCCCATGGTACCAAGGTCTGGCAGCAGGCAGGACAGGGGCTGAGGACGGGTTCCCTGGCCTGGGTCTGTTGTGGCCACACTCCCCCTGGCCTCAAATCCATGTAATTTGAGGTATTTAATCCAGCCTGGCTCACTTTTAATAGCAGCGAGTGGCTCATTCAGAGGGGTTGAGCAAGGAGATGCCAGAAGAGTCTGTATGGATGTGGGTGGCTCAGGGATGCAGAGAGGGGACCTTTCCTGCCTTCCCCAATGCCCTGCATCACCCTGTCCCCAGCAGCAAGGTCCTGCCAGCCCCTGAGCCCCCTCGCTGGGCACAGCTCAGCTGTGAACCCCACCACAGATGGTGCCAGAAGTGGAAGCAAACAGGGTCCTAAAGCAGTTAGTCCAGGTGTGGAGCTGCAGAGGCAGTGTCTTTAAAGCCCTGATTACCAGATGAGGCAGGGAAGGATCACTCCCTGTTTGCCTGGTTCTTATTCCCTTCTGCAAAGCCTCCAGTTCTGGCCCTTGCCAGAAGAAGATGCTGAGTGAGGCTTTGCTCTGACCTGTTACCACAGATGCATATTTAATTTGCCTCTTAATACAGCCGTACCTACCTAGCAATGGACTGGCCAAGACAGACACTATATTTTATCACTGTGTGTTGATCTGGCAAGGGGAAATCGATATGTTCCTCTGAACACCGAGAGCAAGCTGATACCTCAGACTAAGAGAAACAGGAATAAAGCTATAGGTTTCCAAGGGAGGATGGTGGGGTTTCCCCTGCAGTAATCTGTGCTGGGATGTGTGGGTAGGAGGTAGCTGCAGGTGGTACCCAGAAACCAAAGGCAGCATGGGGATTCAAGGATGCTGGAGAGGGACTCTTCATTAGGGACTGTAGTGATAGGACAAGGGGTAACGGGTTTGAACTGAAACAGGGGAAGTTCAGGTTGGATATAAGGAAGAAGTTCTTTACTGTGAGGGTGGTGAGGCACTGGAATGGGTTGCCCAGAGAAGCTGTGAAGGCTCCATCCCTGGTGGTGTCCAAGGCCAGGTTGGACAGAGCCTTGGGTGCCATGGTTTAGTGTGAGGTGTCCCTGCCCATGGCAGGGGGTTGGAACTGGATGATCTTAAGGTCCTTTCCAACCCAAACCATTCCATGATTCCTCCAAACCCCATCCTCTGAGTGAGTTTCTCTCCATGCTTCTCGTTGCAGGTTCATGAATCACCGCGTCCCATCCAACTGCAGGTACCAGCCGACGGAGTATGAGCACGCAGCCAACTGTGCCACCCATGCAGTGAGTCCCTGTCCCTACCCCAGGGCTAGGTGGGATGGTGCTCAGCTCCCCATGGATCCTTTGAGGAACCTCAAGGAACTCCTAGAAATGCCCATGTTCAGCCCTGCTGCTGAGGGTCTCAGGGCTGTGGTGAGGCAGATGGATGCTGGGCAATGGGATACTCTCCCTCCTTCTGCACTGGGAAGCTGGTGTGCATATCCCTTGCTCTCACTCCCCATGCCCCCAGGGATGCTGTGGGCTTAGTGGGGCAGGAGTATTTTGCAGAGCTCCATGAAAACAGAGTGGTTTTCACAGCAGGGATGGTGACAGGAGCCCCACGGGGCTGCCTACACAGCGGTTCCCACATCAGGGTTCCTCCCACTCTGAGTCCTGGGGGATGACTCAGAGGTAGCCATCCTCCTTGTGCCTTCCTCCTCCTCATCTTCACCTGGAGAAGCTGTTTTGGAGCTGCACCAAGATAGAGGGGAGAAAGCCTGCCCCTCATGGGTGGGTGGTGGCTTTGACCAGGAGCAAAAGGAACACCTAAAAGGCAAATCAGAGACTGTACCGTAGCTGCTCCATGGAAATGCAGAGTCAGCAAAGATTTGCTTCTCCCTTCCAGTTCTGGATCCTGCCCAGCATCCTTGGCAGCTCCATCCTCTACATCCTCTCTGATGACCAGTGGGAAACTATCTCAGCCTGGATCTATGGCTTTGGCTTGTCCAGCCTCTTCATTGTCTCCACCATCTTCCACACCATCTCCTGGAAGAAGAGGCATCTCAGGTACCAGCCCTGATTGATGGGGGTTCAGGAGAAGGGGGAAAGGGTCCAGAGGCCCCTGGTGCTATGGGCTGTGACCTGTCTGTCTGTCTGTCCATCCCACAGGACAGTGGAGCACTGCTTGCACATGTTTGACAGGATGGTGATCTACTTCTTCATCGCAGCATCATATGCTCCCTGGTGAGTTGCTGGGGAGTGGGGGCCATCACTTGCCACCCCCTGGATGGGAGAAAATCACAACAGCTCCAACAGATAGGGTTTCCCTCTGTGGCTTTGTCTCTGCTCAGGGCTGTACCCTACCCTGCTCCACAAAACCTTATCTTATGGATTAGAACCCCTTTGAAGTTGCAAGCTGGGAAGACCCTTTGATGGGATAGCCATGGGGCACCTCTCTGCCCATGGCCAGGACTGGGGTGCTGCCCGAGATCCTCACCAGCCCTTGGGTCTTGCAGGCTGAACCTGAGGGAGTTGGGTCCCTGGGCTTCCCACATGCGCTGGATCATCTGGATCATGGCATCTGTCGGGACTGTCTATGTTTTCTTCTTCCATGAGCGGTGAGTGCCGTTGCTTGGCTCTGTGCTGGGGGGTATTGCAGAGCCCAGCTCTGCCAGCCCCTATAGATGCCCAAAGCTGCAGGGGAGAGCAAGAAGGATGGAGACAGACAGACAGACAGACAGGTACAGTGCTCCTGGCAGGCTTCTGGTCAGCTGGAAGTGGAGAATTGAACCACGTCCTTCCCCATCTGTATTCTGGCTTTAGGAGATTCGGTGTCAGGGATGCGGGAAGAGGGATGCGGGAAGAGGGATGCGGGAAGAGGGACGCGGAGCAGGGATGTGCTGCTATGAGCTGCTTCTTCCACATGGTGGCACCAAACGGAAAGCAAAAGGCTCCAGATACCTGTCCCAGAAGCCCCAAGCTCCCGGCTCTGAGCTGGCAGCTCTGACGCCAGGGTGCCAGCCCCATGGCAGTGGTGTGGCTCACACATGCGGACACGGGACCTGCCGAGGTGGCACTTCCAGCCCTTTTCCTATAGCACTTACAAGTGTAAAACTCAACGCTCTTGCCTCCAAGCAGCTTCTCTGTCTGTCGCAGGTACAAGCTGGTGGAGCTGGTGTGCTACGTTATCATGGGCTTCTTCCCTGCACTGGTCATCCTCTCCATGGTAAGCCACTGTTGGGAAGCATGTGGGCTCAGCGCAAGGGGCAAATCCCAGTGGGACTTGCTTGTCTCTGGAGGGTCCTGGGATGGATAAAGCCAGCCCCAAATACGACATGGCCCAGCTTGGTTTTGCAAGTGCTTTGGGTCCCCACCAGATCTAGGTGTCACCATTGAACCTCCTACCCAGCCTCCATCACACTGAAGTCCTCCAAGCCAAGCCAGGGTGCTGGGTCCCCATTGCCTGGCTGGAGGGCAGGGTGCAGCAGGAGGCAGAGAGAAGGGCAAGGGATGCCGTGGCCATCACTGAGCCTTATCTCCCTGCTTGCTCCCAGCCCAACAGGGATGGCCTCCCGGAGCTGGTGGCCGGTGGATTCTCCTACTGCCTGGGCATGGTCTTCTTCAAGAGCGACGGCCGCATCCCCTTCGCCCATGCCATCTGGCACCTCTTTGTGGCCATTGGAGCTGGCATCCACTACTATGCCATTTGGAGGTATCTCTACCGGCCCGGCACGCTGGACACTAAAACATCCCGGTAGATGCCTTAAAGACCAGCCCATGGGGGTATGAGGGGAGCAGGGAGACAGCCTGTGCCATCGCTCACCCCAAACCACCCACTAGCCCCATGGGCAGCTCTGCTGGTGCCCTTCCTGCACAGCCAGGAGAGCCTGGAGGTGGATTTTAAACAGATTTTCCTCTTTTAACCTCGGGAACTGCTTGGATTTTAGGCACAGGTTTTGTAACACAGTGACCCACCAAGGGGCTGCTGGTGGCAGGGGAATGAATGACCGTGTGCAAGGGGCTTGGGGAGGCTTCACTCACTTGCCTGGCCCTGAGCATCCCATGGGGTCCTTCACCCCACATGCCTCTGGATAGTGACACCCTGGGTTGGCTGCTGAGCCCTTAGCATGGGCCACCCAAGGGACTGGAGGAGTTGGGATGAGGGGGCAGATCCAGCCCCTTTCCCTTGGGATGCTCCAGCCTGGGAGGGGACACATTGGCACCCCTGTTCCAGCCGGGCTCAGCTCCTAAATGGACCTAAATCATGCCAGCATTAACCAGGTTCTCTATGGGAAAGTCCAGGGACAACAAAGCCTTATATGAGATGGAAACTGGGATCTCTTCCAGGGCACCCCAGAGTCCCCAAGCACTGCAGAACCCTTTCTCTAAGCCAGTCTTAGGTGCACAACTCAGCACACCCCCCCTGCATGGGCCCGGGGAGCCCACCGGGATGTTTTGTCCTTGGGGTGCTTTGTTTTCCCCTCCAATCTCAGTGCCGTGGCAGATTCAAAGCACAGCCCCGCTCCCAGGCTCTTACCTGTGCCTTCAAGCAGGGAGCAGAGGGGGGATCTGGATCCCAGCATCCGCCTGGCTGGGGTGAGTCCATCCACATCAGGGGATTCTCATTCTCCTTGAGGGAGGGAAGCAAACCTCCTTGGGTTGGGATCATGGGGCTACCTGCCTTTCCTGCTCCCATTCTGGTGATGAGCCTATTGCCCATCATTAACTCCACTCCTGGGAGGATTTCTGGCATTCCCAGAATTGATGTAGGGGAAAGATGCATCTGCGTGATGCTTGGAGGTGAGCTGAATGGAGAGGTCCTAGTGATGCTCGGCTATTAAACACCTAACCACAGCTACACAGTGCTTTCCAGGGTACGATAACAAGACATGGAGCACCCATCCAGCCTTCAGGAGCAGCCTGATGGTGCTGGAACGGGGAAACCACACTGGTCCTGCTCCCCAGGCTGCTGGAGCTGTTAAGGACTGGTCCATGCTGGGACCCCGCAGAGCATCGCTGCTCTCAGTCCTGCCTGCACCTTCCCCAGGAGCCCCTGGAGGCATCGATTTCCCATCAGCTCTTCTGGGCCTCTTGATTAATTGTGGCTGCAGCAGCCTTGGCACAAGGAGGCAAATGAAGGAGATTTATGGCCACTGTCCCACGTCTCCTGTTTCTCTGGTAGCCAAGGAGCCGAGCTCCAGGCTCTGCTCCATCTCCCACAGAGCTTAGGGTCTCCCCAGCCTGCATCGCCCCAGGACCAGCTCTATATCACCCATCAAATTACCAAAGAGACAGCATCCGGATGCTCATCCCCTCCTGACTGTGGCTGTGGTCACCAGGGCAACAAAAGAATCCTGTGGGTTTTCCCTTCCATAGGCACAAGGGTCCTATAAGGGGCTCTAGGTGTATGACTCTGGCATAGGGCTGCTGGGGGGTCTCTACCCAGGGCACCCCAAATCAGCCTTTGGGCTGGGGACACCCCTTGGGGTGATGGGTGGTCCTAAGGGACAGGGGGTGGATGACCCAGTGTGAGCACAGTCTCTGCTGCTGCATCTCCCAAGCCCCCATGTCCACTCCCTTGCTCCATCATCTGCTGCAGATGGAGGCTGGAGGATAAGCTGGGAGTAACCAGCAGCTGATGGAGCATTTTTGGGGTTGAAATAGCAGGATAGGAGGTCCCAGAACAGAAGATGCCATTTTTTTTCTGCCTGGCAAGCCCTTAAACTTCTCCGTGCCTCAGTTTCCCCATCTGTAAAATGGAGGAGAAGACAGCAACCTACCTCACAGGGCTCATGTGAGGACCCTGTGGAGCACCTGGAGGACAACCAGTGCTTTACAAACGCGTGCTTCAACTTTAACCGATTCCCAGCATCATCGTGGGGCACGGTGACAACCATGGCTCAATGTGCCTGGCTCTCCTCCTCTTCCATCACTAAATCCCACTGGGAACAGGCCATGACCACAGCAGTCAGGGGCTGAGGATGCCCAGGGACCACCATTGTGTTTTGCCCTTCATCCTAAGGGATGAAGCTGTTTTGCCACTGGGGGCTTCTAGCTCTAAATGCATCCTGGGGGCTCCCCGCCTACGGGCAAAATTCTCTCTGGAAGACACAGGTCACAGCTCAAGCCTGCTCCTGCAGTGGTAAAAGTCCCATCAACTGCAGTGGAAAATGTTACAATTCTTTGCATTTTACAAATCTGAAGTGCCTCTTATAGACAAGACAAAAGGTGGAAGAGAAAAGGCAAAATGAAACTCAAAGAAAGCTGAAAGAGAAAACCAACTTTAAGAAACCTTCCTATCTGACTTTCTTTGCAGAACGAGAAGAAACTTGGTTCCAGTGCTGCACTAACAAGGCATCTCATACTGCAGCAGCTGTAAAATGTACGTTTGGGGATGCACTTGTTCAAGTTTTGTTCTAGCTTCAGGCAGCCAGCTGGGTGGGCTTAGCAGTGCAGGAGGAGCAGAAACAAGCAACACATCCTACATCTCACCTCTCACCAAGTTAGCTCTTGACTGTAATGGAGCAAGACTCTTAGAATTCCAGCAAAGCAAAGCTAAAATACATCTGCTTTCCATTGCTTCCAGCATTAAGTTTCACTTCCACATTTCATGAAAAACAACAACCGTGTTAAACTTTTTGCTTTACGCACACTAAAGCAATACTGAGGCACCACAGAAATGTACAGAAGGGCTCTGCCTCATCCAGCGAGACAGAAATCTTTAAAGTGACACCCAAATCGACTTGTTCTCATGTTTGTGTTTATGCTGCTTGCTTGGTTTTGACACCCAAGACTTGATGGCAGACTACAAATCAAAGCCACCAGTCTCAAAGTCCACAGGAGACTTCTAAAATAATCTATCTGGGTGCTATTTCAGGTCTTCTGTGAGGCCCAGTTTAACCAGCAGTTTCCATGCAACCAAGTCCCCTGTGGACGATTTTGCAAGCGCACTTCACCCATTCAAGTCCACTCCTCTCCTTTCCAAGGCAACCTGAACTTATGTCACTGAAACATTTTAGAGGGCTTTCAGGATCTTGCTTATGATTTAGAATTCCACTTCTGCACTAAATTTCCTTCAAGAAATTGCTCAAAAACCATTTGATGGAGCAGGAAACAGAATGGTGTCATGCTTCCCAAGGGCTAAGTCCATCTGGTAGAAATCACTTAGCAGAAACCTGTGGTGTTCACAGACAATTACCCAAAACTCAGCGAAGATATGGCACTTCTACTCACCAGAACTTTGTCAAGCCCTAAGAAATTCCACGGGGTTTTGGAATTGATGAGCCCCATGACATCCTCATAATTGCCCAGCACGTCCCGAACTCGGTTTGACAAGTCATCTCCTTTATGAGCCTGCAAGAGAACAGAGGCAGAAATGGAAAAAGCATGGACCCTCAACTTCAAGAGACTCAGCTCTGTAAGAGAGATTCCTCGGGATCTTAATTTCATCACCATGTATCACCACAAGCAAAGTTATGCAAGCTCATCTTGACCCTGCAGTGCAGTCCCTCCAAAGCAAGTGGGACTGCTCTACTCAGTATTAGTTCTTCTGAGCCAAACTTGTAGGTGTGCCTGCAGTCTTCAGGAACACTAACATCAGAGCCGTTTGTTTCTATCACAGCTGCACACAGACAGGCAGCCAAGCTGCTCTTGGGTGCTCTCCCTCAAACTCCCAAACTACAGGAAGTAGCCCCCAAATGAATCTGCCCAACCCAAAGACCTTAAAGCTCTGAAGATGGTGCAAACACAGTAAACACATACTCCGATGAGTTTAAGTTAAGCAGATGGGAAGATGCTGCTTCTGCACCTCCCATACTCTGCTACACCATTTGCAGAAGCCAGCGCTCTGCTCTTACGCTCCAACCATCTTTCCTCCTCTTCTTCCACCACACCCCACACCCCCATTACCTTATAGGGTGCTGCAAAGAGGGGAGGATTCACAGGGAGCTTCTTTTTCTCCTGCTGAGCCTCCCTAATTCGTCTCTCTCTCTCTCTAGCACGCAGCAGGTTTCTGTCCTCATTGTATAAGCTTTAGGAAAGAGAGAAAGAAAGGATGGTTAACACTTTACACCACTGTTATCAACAAGCACCTACTGTGCTTTTCAAACAACAGTGCACGTCCAGCATGAAAGTCATTTTGAACAGGATGCTTACAGTTGCCAAATCAGTTATGTCACTGCACGGTAATATAATACATGCAAGGTACAGCAAGCATCCTTCTCAGTGGTTTCTACTCTTGATACCATACATCAAGAAAGGTGGGAAGGGAAAAACTATCCATGTATTGAATTGTGAAACTCTGGTTCCAGACTCTTTTCAGTGGTCCTCATCAACAGGACGAGGACCGATGGCCATAAACTAAAAGTCAAGAAGTTTCAGTATTTTTTGCATGTGAGCAATCTCAGATACATAATCATGTGGCTGATCGCTTGCCCTATGTGCCAGGAAAGCGTTGTGCTGCCAGATATGGGAGATACCAATTGCACAAGACAAAAACCTAAGAGGAATTATAAGGCAAACTACAAGGGATCTTGGCTACACCTACTACTTGAAATTGTGCCTGTAAGAATGATTTTTTAAGTGACTGCATTTCAAGTTGGGCACTTTTTTTTAAGCTATTGGTTTGAGTTATCTGGAAAATTTTTCCTGAATAAAACACCATTCTCCAAACATTCCAGGAAGTAAACCATTATTCTGTAAACGACAGTTGGACTTGATGATCATTTAAAACATTAAAACATTTCTACCAAAATGAGAAGTACGGCCTCTTTTCAAGACTCTTCTGGGTTTAGTTGCAAAGACTTGGCTTTAGGGTTGGGAACAGAGGGCTTCCCAGACTGTTGTCCATCATTTACCCTTCCCTGCAGGGCTGACTCGAGAGAAGAGACCAGGGATGCCAGTAGAACACACAATTTCATAGCGCTCTGACTATGCTACTGCATTCACCTGCGTACCGATGTCGGAGGAGCGACCCGAATCAAGAAGACAATCCCAATATGAGTTACGCTTCTCGTTCCATTTATTGCACAGCCTCACCTAATTTATACCATTGGTGATAGTTTACGTGACAGCTGTACATCTTTCATTGGCTACATAAACCTGTCCACGCGCCTGTCTATACATTGCTATTGGCTAAGCTAAGTTTTACACACATATCTCTGCAGCAGCAGGGTGCATGCCTTGCGATAAGCGGTGCATTCCTTGTGGCCAGAGATGCGGTGCACTGACTCCAGTGCCAGACTTGCCTTTTCTCAGCCAGTTTGCTAAGCCTGGGAGGTACTGCTAGGCCCTGCTCCCATGTGCCCTCCTGCCACCCAAGAAAATGGCTGTGTGACCTCCGAGACATCAAGCATCTCCCTAGCCTTGGAGCCAAGCCAAGCTTCACAGCCAGCCAGCAGCGCTAACATTTATGCTGTAGCCTCTCTTAGCATGCAGCCTATTAAAGCAACGTGCTGATACAGCAGGCCAGTAAATCATGCGAG